AAATCAAAGGGACTGAAACTAACAATGAAAAAAAATAAAAGGTTGTAAAGAAAAAAACAAATCAAATTGATGAATCCAAGGAGAAAAGATGGAAGAATAAAGAGAGAATACATTGTTGGCACTTGAAAAATAACTGTACGAGTGTTATCTAGAGATGATGAGGATGAAACGACAGTTTAACCCATGCTTCTTACATGGCGGCAAGTGCTTTGCACGCACTAACCTTTTTTGTTCCTTTACCTTTTCCATCTTGGTTCCTAATTCATTAATCAATCTTCAATTAAGCCCCGAGTCTCACTTAACTCATTCAATTTCATCCCTAGTACGATAATAATTTTTCAATTAGGTCCTAATTCTCATCCCACCCGAGCCAAGCCATCTTCTTTCAATCTAACCCTCTCATCTCGGCCTTAAAAAGCCCATACACATTGGCCTACCAACACATGCCTGCATGCATTAAATAATTCTTTTTTTTTTTTAAAGGAAGAGTGACCTTATTTGTCTCCAAAGAAAGTGAACAGACAACGTGTCACATGTTCTTGTAGATGATGCAACATGCCTACAACTTTACTATCACAGTGGTGATAAAAAATTTGAGGCTTTTTTTCAAACTAAAAATCAAATTTCAACTAATTTATATCTAAAAACACATAATAAACTTCTTTAAAATCTCAAAAAATAATTCATAAAAAATAATAAAAATGATTTAAAATAAAAAATCAGATTGGGAAAAGTTTTTTTTTATCTCAATCCTGTTCTACTTTCAAAGAAAAATGATGGTTAAAAAATACCTAAATAGAATCTTCCTTCTCTCACGAAACTTGACACCAAAATTGATCCTTTTTATTTATATAATTTGATTATAATAACAATTTTTATTTAATGTTTTTGACAACTTTGTCCCATCTTTCTAAATTTAAAGGTTGAAAATGTAAAAAAATAATAATTTGAATTAAGATTAAAATTGCAAAAACTATAAAAACTAGAAAGGGGAAAAAAGTCAACGGACTCAACCAAATTTTTTCCAACAAATTTTAGACTGCCTATGGTATTTCCACCTGTTTTGTACTTGGTGTGTTTATTGCAGAATCTTGACTCTTCTTAACAAATTTTGAAAAATTATTTATTTATTTAGGCATAAAATGCTGTAATTGAAAAAAATAAAATCGAGGATGGAATTTTTTCTTGCTGCTGTAGACCTAATTTTTTAGTACACGTTGTAAATGCGATAAAGTTTTAATTTATCACTTGATTGTAAATTAGTGGGCGGAGCTTCACTTTTATCCGTGCGAAAGTGATAAATATACAGGTGGCATAATTCTGTCAATCCGGAGCCACATGTCATAACCTTTCTAGCTGGCCTTATGCTTAATGACAAATGGCCACAGAGAAGGATGAGCTCGTCCGACAGCTGCCAGCTAGCCTTGCACTTCCTTCATCACTCTTGAACCATTGGCTTATTAAAAAAAAAAGAAAAAAAGATATTCCTTTATATGTTGGCCAATGCTTTAGCCTGGCTACCTTCTTGAACATGTCTTCAAATACTTGTTGATGACTAAGCATCTTGAGCCTAGGAATCTCACCCAGTTTTTTTTTTTTTTTTTCTCAACTTAATTTTGATGTACCCCATCAGGGGACCCACTCGACTATACGTGACTCCATGTGACCTTATAAATGGAATGCAGAGAGTTTTCAGTGCGGACACGGCACAATAAATCCCAAGAGAGTAGGAGAAGTGCAACCACTGTTTTATTAAAATTTAATTTAATTTTAAATTATTTTGATAAGTTCATATTAAAAATAATTTTTTAAAAATAAATAAAAAATAATTTTAATATATTTATAAATAAAAAATACTTCAATAAAAAACCCCTCAACATTTGCAAACAACCCCAGACCCATTTATGTTCAATAATGGAATCGCAAATATATAAGTGCACTTATGTTCTCATGGCAGGTGTTATCTCTTATATCACATCAAGGATCGATTACCTTTATAAAATAAAAATTATTCATGATCTCAGCATTAGTTCTTAACGTTGATCCACCAATAGCGAAGTTATCATCCTCCAGCGATTATCTAGATTGACAGAAAGCCAAAAAACTATTTTTTTTTTGTCGTTGACTCCATGCAAGTTGCCAAGACTCTGGACGCATAAGCAGCCATTAATTAGTTCTGGGTAAAGGATTATGAACTTCATCTTCTTCAGCCTTCTTTTTTATTCTTAGCGTACTCAAGTTCTGCAAGACACCCTAAACTGCTTCTTAAAGCTTGCTTACGTGCTATTATTCTCTTGCTAATTTAGGCGCTGGAGTAGCCTCAACTTTCCATGAACATTTGTTCTGCAGAAACTTCAGCCTATCACTCTCTACTCTTAGCAAAGGACGATCCATATCAAATATGGAATGATTTTGGAGCTTCTCAGAGGATATGTGACTACGATCCGGCCCGGACCCACCCATTACTCTAATAATTAGTAGTTTGGCAGATTCAAGAAACATTGCAAGGAACAATTGCAAGCAAACAAGTATCGCATATAATTGTCCATTTTGCAACTGTAATTTCTGCATGTCTAGTCTATTTGTGTCCGGCTTGGCTGGCTCGCGCCTTGATTTGTCTATTGCCTGCTGTCTATTTGTCTTTGTCGAACCCCTTCTACACAGATTTTATCAGTCTGAAATTGGCTCCTTTCTTTATGTTGTTTCTCCAAAAAAGTGAAGTGACACATGTCAAATTACAACCAGCATCATTTAAATCCTATTTGTTTTTATATTTTAAAAATATTTTTTTAAAAAATTATTATTATTTATTTCAATTTTTTTTTATTATGTTAATATTAACAATAATTTTTTTAAAATAAAAAATATTATTTTAATATATTTCTTAATAAATAATATTTTAAAAATTAATTCCTACCACATTCAACAACCACCGACACTTCGTTAAATTGATTACAGCCCTCACATTCCTTCAAGGTAAATGTAACTGAAGGCTCGTGTACAATTCACCATTATTAAACACAAGCTAATAATCCTTGGAAAGGGACACTATTTATTAGAACAACGTAGCAATGGTTGTTGCCTTCCCACCAAAAATCTTGAAACTAACAACTGGAGGTAGTTCGGTATTTATATAAGGTTTGTTAGTTATTTTTAGATATTTTAGAGGTAAGAAGCCTTTTTAAAAAAAAAAACATAGTAAAACAATTAAAATAATCTTAAAATAAAAAAAGAAAAGAACTGAAGTCCAAGAATAATTTATCATTTCAATTTTTTTTTTAATATTGAAATAAGCTACTAAAGGAACATTTAGTATTTTCATAAGTATAAAATATATATTTTGTTAAAGGTAGATAGCACAAGTGAATGAGGTATTCATGTCTTTCAGGCAACGAGTGCAGTGCCTCTTGCTAATCAAAAAACAACTTTAATCATGTCATTAAATGTGGTGATGCATCTTTTTTTTTATATATAAGATAACATGTGTGGTTATTTGTGGTATAGCTTGTAGCTAACATTTCTTTCTTTCCCTTCACTTTTTTCTCTCCTCCCTTCTAAATCCATGTTGCCCTTGCAATATTTCAGGATTGTTCCTAATGTTTTAAAATTTCAAAGTTGGTCATTACTTATTTTTTGTTTTTCTATTAAATTTTGATTTTTTAATTACATTATTTAATCCTAAAATATGATATATTATTTTTTTTCAAAGTGATTTTCATTTATTTGATTGTTTTTCTTTTCCTTCTGGGTTTTTTTGTTAAATTGATTTTTTTAATATAACCATTTCAATCAAAATTTTGTTTTTATTTTTTATTTCAATTTCAATCCTAATTTTTTAACTCTTTTTTCCTTTCATTTATTTTATTTTATTTTATTTTCAATTTCACCATTTCATAAAAAGTAGAATTACTTTTTATTTATGTTTTGATCCTCATTCTTTTAATTATTATTTTTTGAATCCTTTTGTATAATTGATTTTTTTTATAATTTTATTTTTTAATATTTAATTGGTGGAAAATTGAGTTTTTTAGTTTTTTAAGATAGGGTGTTTTTGATTTAATAACCATAGTTTTAATTTTGAAAAGTTAATGCAAGTTTTTTTTTTTTTTTTGGTTTTTCATATATCTTCTTTGCAACTTTCATTGCTCAACAATGTTTTTTATTTAAAAAAATAGGTTTTGAGAATTTTTTTATTTTTTTTTATTGAGTTATTCCAATTGACTTGAATTATGAATTTGATGAGTTAACTTAGATTGATGTGATTCTTATTATTCAGATTACAAGTTTATCACTTTAATTCAGGTTAAATCAAATCAATTTGTCTTGTCTTTCCTTACTCAATTTCATCATTCTGTATTTAATAAAATAAAAATAGAGATACATTAATATTAATTTTTATTCAAAAAGCACAACTTGCGATTTACAAAGTGTCTAGGTAATATATTTGTTTTTTAATATTGAGATTGTCTATTTTTTTTATCATATTTCAATATTAATTTTTATTCAAAAATCACTACTTGCGATTTACAAAGTGTCCAGGTAATATATTTGTTTTCAATGTTGAGATTGTCTATTTTTTTTATCATATTATTAAATGAATTTTAAAAAGATGGTGTTATAAAGGTCAATAGGATCTATTATCGAGTCATAAATTTAATATATTAATTTGAATTAACTTGTTGGTTGGAGATGTAATCATCTTGATATTTGAAAAAAAATATTTTATATATTAAATTATTAAATATTTGAGTTTATAATCAAATTTTTTCTTGAAAATAAAAAAATACTTTGACAATGTATACATTTTTCATGTTTTAAAAAACAATTGTCCGACCCGCATCCAACGCGAAACAAGCAATAACATAGTTAAATTGTATTTCCCCTCCTGCTTCTGTCTTGTACGCAAAGGCTGAAGGTTAAATTACAACCTGCTTCTGTCTTGTACGCAAAGGCTGAAATAAAGGCCCTGAAGACCTAAACTACTGAGAGTTTCTGAATTACAGAAAATATTGGTAACTCTCTTCATGGAAATCTCATTCTACTCCTGCTTCATTCTCTTCTTGATGTTCTATTTCCTCTCAAAACACCTATGCAAAATCAGCAGGAACCTTCCACCGAGTCCAGGCCTCTCTCTGCCAATTATTGGTCATCTCTATCTCATCAAGAAACCCCTCCATCAGAGTCTTGCCAATCTTTCCGACAAATATGGTCCAATTCTATTCATTCAATTTGGCTCTCGTCCTGTAATCCTCGTATCATCCCCTTCAGTTGCAGAGGAGTGCTTATCTAAAAATGACATAATTTTTGCAAATCGACCTCGGCTGCTTGCTGGAAAACATCTTGGGTATAACTATACCACGCTTACTTGGGCCTCATATGGGAACCACTGGCGCAATTTAAGGCGCATAGCTGCTCTTGAAATCTTATCAACCAATCGCCTGAAGATGTTCTATCATATACGGGCTGATGAGGTCAGGTTATTGGTTCATCAGCTTTTTAAAGGTTGCAGGGGTGGTGAGTTCATGTCAATTGATGCCAAGTCAACTTTTTTCGATCTGACGCTTAATGTCATTACGCGGATGATTGCCGGAAAGCGATATTATGGAGAGGATCTAGCAGAATTGGGTGAAGCAAGGCAGTTTAAAGAAATTGTGAGAGAGACCTTTGAATTAAGTGGAGCTACGAATATTGGAGATTTTGTGCCAGCATTGAAATGGATTGGATTGAACAATGTTGAGAAAAGGTTGGCTATATTGCATAGAAAGAGGGATGAATTCGTTCAAGGCTTGATTCTAGAGCATAGAAAAGTTAAGAGCGAGTCTGCTTCAGATCAAGGGAGCAGTAAAACCATGATCGATGTCCTGTTAACCTTGCAAGAAACTGAACCTGAGTATTATACCGATGAAATAATCAGAGGCCTAATGACAGTAAGCACTCCAAATCCCTAAGAAAATCACAATCTTGAATTATCTCTTCTGATTTGAATATTCTATTTAACTCCAATAATATAGATTCAGTGGACTTCTTGTGCTAGTGCCGTAACTGACCATTTGAATAAAACGTGTGGCTATGCCCTTTTCTTATCGGATATTGCACTTGAAACTTGCACAAGAGTTTTGATTCACAGATATTTCAAATCGTGACTACCAATCCATATTTCCCAATTAAACAAGCATATTAATTAGAGATAACTAGTCTTTGAGATTTTTTCCGGAAAACGAGCGTTCGTTGCTCCGTACATTTAAAGACGAATTGATTGCCGTTGATATGCAAGTGAAAATTCTCTCATCAAGTGGCTTGCCTGGCAGGCTAGCCCCTTAAGCTTGTCAATTAATGTAGCACTCAGAAGTTAACGAGGTCCATTCATCTTCGTTTTGCTTGATATTCTAACACAGGTAATCTTATCTGCGGGGACGGACACTTCAGCTGGGACCATGGAGTGGGCATTGTCACTCTTGCTGAACAATCCACAGGCCTTGATGAAGGCCCAGATCGAAATTGATACCATTATTGGTCCAAGCAAGCTCATTGAAGAATCAGACCTTCTCAAGCTTCCCTATCTCCAAGGCATCATCAACGAGACTCTCCGAATGTACCCTGCTGCCCCACTGCTCCCGCCCCATGAGTCATCAGAGGAGTGCACTGTTGGAGGTTTTCGAGTCCCGCGAGGCACCATGCTCTTAGTGAATATGCGGTCTGTACACAATGATCCCAACTTATGGGAGGAGCCCACAAAGTTTAAGCCAGAAAGGTTTCATGGCCCAGAGGGACAAAGAGATGGGTTCATATATTTACCTTTTGGTGCTGGGAGGAGAGGTTGTCCAGGAGAGGGCTTAGCTACAAGGATAGTTGGGCTGGCTTTAGGATCTCTTATTCAGTGTTTCGAGTGGGAGAGAGTCGGTGGGGAACTTGTGGACATGAGTGAAGGAACTGGGCTCACAATGCCTAAGGCCCAACCACTGTGGGCTAAATGTAGACCACGCCCTGCAATGGTGAATCTTCTTTCTCAAACCTGACGACACCTCGTTGTTCCGGTCTATGGTTTCCCACGCTTGCAGTTTTCGGCTTAGCCTTGCGGTCGCTGCTTCAATGCTTTGAACGGAAGACGAGAGGACAGGGAAAGCAAATGGTGGACATGAAAGAGGGAGCTGGATTAGTGCTTCTTTGGTACTCCGGTTGTAGTGTTTTTTAAATAATTTTTTTATATTAAAATATATATATTAATGATGTTTTTTTTTTTTAAAAAAAAAATTATCAAAATGATTTGAAAATTTTAAAAAATATTAATTTAAAGTAAATAAAAAAATTATTTTTTTTAAAATACTTTTAAAATAGAAAAACAAACAGGCTGTATCCATAGCTCCACGATGAACCTTCCTTTTCAAATTGAAATTTTCTTTTTAGGTTTTTTTACGAGGGAAAAATAAAAATATATAGCTCACGCTGACATCTGAAAACTTAAGAAGACTTTCTTTTTAGCATCCCCTGTGATGAAATATGTTATATATTAGTATAAAGAATCCGGCGTCACTAACAATTTTATTTTATAAGTCACATTTAAAATATAAAAATTAAATGTAATTGAAAAATATAAGACTTTATCGTTAAATAACATTATGGTAACCTATTCGTCATGGACAGTCGTTTCAAACGATAAAATGGTTTGGAAACAAAAAAATAAAATGAAAATTAGCCGCCGCCACTGATATCTTGTCGTGATTTTGATTTTAGAACCCGTTAGTTGATCCCATTGAAAAAACTTTCTAGCAGATTCTTAAAAACATTAATACATTAAAAATATATAAATAAAATTAATTTTAAAAAATTAAAGATTCTTAAAAACAATTTTAACCGTAAAACAAAGGTAGGGATTAGGCGGCGGTCCAGATCTGTTATGGAGGCCGACTTTGCGGGAGTAGGTGGGGGGGTCAAGATCGATTATGGATTATTAATGCATGGTAGAAACTTTCTTACGGTACTGTCTTTTTCATTAAGGAAATATCTCCTTCCTTTTGCTTCCGTGGGCATATTGCAGACCATTCAAAGTCAACGCAGGCTAATATATATATCTGCTTGTTTGCAACCCTAACCAGCATTACAATCTCCGGTCTTGACAGAGCTAGTCTGTTCTTGTATAAACAGTAAACCACCATGTTCTGGCAATTTATGCTCCTCTATTTAGTTCTCTATGTACTTACCAATCACTTCCGCAACAAGATCCAAAACCTCCCACCAAGCCCATTCCCTGCTCTCCCTATAATAGGCCATCTCCATCTCCTCAAGAAACCCCTCCACCGATCCCTATCCAAGATATCCGACAGGCACGGCCCTGTAGTACTCCTACAGCTTGGCTCCCGTCGTGTTCTTGTAGTTTCCTCCCCATCAGCTGCAGAAGAATGTTTGACCAAGAATGATATTGTCTTTGCCAATCGTCCACAACTCCTTGCAGGAAAACACTTGGGCCGCAACTACACGACCCTTCCATGGGCACCATATGGTGACCTTTGGCGCAATCTTCGTAAAATCTCCTCCCTTGAAATCTTATCCTCTAACCGTCTCCAGTTGCTTTCTAGCATACGCACGGAAGAGGTCAAGTTGTTGATTCGCCGTCTCTTCAAAAACAATGATGAGATCATAGATTTGAAATCGTCATTTTTCGAGCTCATGCTAAATGTGATGATGAGGATGATAGCTGGAAAGAGATATTACGGTGAAAACGAGGCCGAAGTGGAGGAGGGGAGGAGATTTCGAGAGATCGTGACAGAGACTTTCCAGGCCAGTGGCGCATCAGCTGTGGGAGACTTCTTACATGTGTTAGCTGTGATATGAGGAACGGAGAAGAGGTTGATGAAGTTGCAGGAAAAGAGAGATGGGTTTCTGCAAGATTTGGTTGATGAGCACAGGACAAGAATGGGGAATAACAAGAGCTGTTTTTCTAATGAGAGAAATTACAAGACCATGATTGAGGTTTTGTTAACACTGCAGGAATCGGAACCTGAGTACTAGAAGGATGAAACTATCAAGGACCTTATGTTGGTAAGGTTTTTGTCTTCGTGGTGGTTGTTTAAAAGGGTTTTTTAAAAAAATTAATTTTTATTTTATTTTAAATTAATATATTTTTATTATTTTTAAATTATTTTAATATACTAACATCAAAAATAATTTTTAAAATATAAAAAAAATATTATTTTTATATATTTTAAAATAAAAAACACTTTTAAGTTATTTCCTAACATGCTATAACAGATCTGGGTGGCGTTAATGAAAAATGACGGGAAAAGTTTCTCGTTAATTTTATTACTTTCAAGTTATTTCCTCATTAGATCTGCTAGTGAGATTCCTAGAATTAATTATTTTTTCTTCTATGTATTTTAATTTTAATTTTTATATATTGATCAAAGTGCAAGGCGCACACAATTTAGCAGCCACTGTTCATAAGGAGTTCGAATTCATGCACTAATTCTTTAATTCACGTATATGCAGGTTCTACTGTCTGCCGGGACAGATACTACAGCTGGGACAATGGAGTGGGCATTGTCACTTCTGCTGAACAATCCTCTGATTTTAAAGAAAGCACAGAATGAAATTGACAAGGTTGTTGGACACGATCGTCTAATTGATGAATCTGATGTGGCTAAGCTTCCTTATCTACACTGCGTCATAAAGGAAACTATGCGAATGTACCCAGTAGGCCCATTGCTAGTGCCTCACGAGTCATCAGAGGAGTGTGTGGTAGGAGGGTTCCAGATACCGTGCGGCACCATGTTGCTGGTTAACATATGGGCAATACAGAATGATCTTAAAATCTGGGACGACGCCGCAAACTTTAAGCCAGAAAGGTTCGAAGGTTCCGAGGGAGTTAGAGATGGGTTCAAATCGATGCCTTTCGGGTCAGGAAGGAGGAGTTGTCCTGGAGAAGGTTTGGCCATGCGCATGGCTGGATTGACTTTGGGGTCATTACTTCAGTGTTTCGAATGGAACAGGGTTAGCGAGGAAATGGTGGACATGACAGAGGGGACTGGACTCAGTATGCCCAAGGCTAAGCCTTTACTGGCCAGCTGCACTTCCCGTCCATCGATGGCAAACCTTCTTCCTCAAATTTGAAGGAGGCTGTTGCCTGTTGAAGCACCCAACCCACTATGATATGCTGCTGAACAGAAGATATTAATTTGCCAAGTTTATTGGTTGTAAAAGGTCACAGTCTCTGGCTAGTTTGATTATCAACTAACTGTTTGTATGAAAGTAGTGTAAATTTTAGTAAACTGCATTATTTTTTATGTTTTGTATTGTAATTAAAAATAAATTAAAAATATTTTTTAGTATTTAGTTATGTTATATAAAATAAACTGAAAAATAACTTATTAATTTTTATTTTTTAAATTTTATTAAAATAATAAATAACAAATCTTACAAAATTAAAAAGTTAAAGGAGAATGAAAATGGAAAAAATATAATTTTATAAATTATCTAAAATAAAATAAATAATAATAAAAATAATAAAGATCAAATCTAAAAAAAATAAAAAAATTAAAAGATAAAAAGATAAAAAAAATTAAAATAATAATAGTTAACATTTCATAAATTATTTCAAATAAAATAAGTAATAAAAAAAATAAAGATCAAATTTGATAAATAAAAAATTTTAATTAAAAAATAATAAGAAAAAAGAAAATAACAATTATAAAATTAAGAATTAAAGTTAATACAAAAATTAAATTCTAAGGAATGAAATTAAAAAATAAATATTCAAAACAAAATATATATAGTAATAAAAAACCTAATTTTAATATAATTATCAAATAATATAATATTTTTAATTTTTTATTAATTTCTGAAAAGTGTTTTTCATCTAAAATAATTTTTTTTTTATAGAAATCAAGTCAAATTTTTTGTCAATCGAAAAATATTTTTAGTGACTAAATTTTTTAATAATAAATAAATATTAAAAAATCTAAAAAATAAATTTCCAAAACTATTTTTTAAAAAAATAAATATGCCTCTCAAATATCATTTACTTTTTAAAATGTAAGTTTTCAGCTTCGTGGGCTTGGAATATTAGTAATTTTTTAAAAGTATTTTTTTATTTTAAAAAATATTTTTTATTTTTAAAAAATGATTTTAATATTAATATATCAAAATAATTTAAAATATTAATTTAAAAAATATATATTTTTTTTATAAATACTCTCAAAATATAATGACAAACACTAATATTTAACACATCATCATTATTTATACTGGAAGACAAGGACCATTGTTTACCGGCGATAACAGTACCTGCGATGATTTCTAACTTTTTATCTCTCTCATGAGTTGACTTTAATTGTTAATTTTTTCTTTTTACGTCTTAAGAAGTTTTGAAATACTCTAATGCTATCATGGAATGTTTTAGATTTAATTGGTGAATGAGGCTGGAATTTTATCAATTATTTTAACTACCTGCTCATTTTCGAGCAACTATCTTCCCATTTGTTTTTCTTTACATGCATAAATTAAGTCTGAAAATTACTATTTCAAAATATTTTTTATTTTTCTTGTTTTTTGGGTTTTTTATTTATATTAGAATTGTGATAATCCCATAAAACCTAAATCTAAACAAAATAGAAAATTAAATTCTAATAAATAAAATATTAAAGCCTAATAATAATAATAATAATAAAAACCAATCAATTGAAAAAAAAAAACCCCAAATAAGCTATACTTAAGAAAACAAAAACATCATGGTGTTTATATTTAAGAATTTAATTTAATTTAAAATCTAAATTTATTTTTTAAAAAAGATAAATTTAAAAAAGAATGGAAAATAAAAATAATGAAGATAACCTATATTATTTTCAAAATTAGTAAAAAATCCTATAAAAAATATTAAATAATAAAATTAAAAAAATACAAAACTAAAAAAATAAATTTGAGTAAATTTTCTAAATATGATTTAATCTTCTAAATTTATAACTCATTAAATCATATATTCGGATTCAACAAGAAACTCAATTTAATATTAATGAGAAATCATAAAAAAATATAAATTATAAAAAAATTATAAAAATAAAAATATAAAAAATATAAAAAATAAAAATAAAAATAAATAATGATTTGATTGTTTTTTATATAACAACCAATTTCTTGAAGATTACACTTTGTAACCT